CGGTTACGCGCCGCGGTGATTAGCGGCGAGTCCACGCGTGCACACCGGTCACGCACTCACTGGCGGCTCGGGGTCCCGCACTGCACCGCCGCACCCACTAACATCGAAAAACTTCAAAAATTCGATAGAAAAAAAGTTCGCGTTCCGTTTCCAAAAGTTGCGTTGGCCGGTGTCGGCGGCGCGCGGGGCAGGCGCGGGCGGCGCGCACAGACGTTCGCGGCGACTGGCCCGCCTCGCTGAAAAAGCTCCTTACGTTAAATACATACAGGGCGATGTGCATTCTATTTATAAACTTAAGTTGGGCGTGCGGCACGCGCGTGCAGCGCGCCCGCCACTGCCTACATTAACATCATAATATTTGAAGTTATTAGGTCAGCTGATGAAACGTGTTGCGGCACACCGGCGCACCGCCAGTAATTAGCTGCACCTCGCGGGACCCCGGCTCCAGCGGCCGCAGCGCGGTGCATCACACGCACCACTAAGTAGGTGTAATAGTTACACATTGGAAGGGCTCCAACAATAATACAGATATGTTACGTTTTATGATGATCGTGAGAACTAGTTTGACGCGCTCCCGCCGCGCACCCGACGCGCTCCGTTTTAAATTTTATTTTATTTACTAAAATAACATCTTTAGTTACAGTGAAAACTATAAAAACGGCAATAAATATTGAGTTCGACATTTAAATTTATTATCGTAAAACAAAATGGCTTCACATTTTAGTGATGGTTTTTTGAAAGCTTTCATTTGCGTCAACGCGTGCAGGCGTGCAGGTGGCGGCCGGTGTCGCAAGTAGTCAGTGCGTGGCACGCGCGACTGACGCGCCACCGAGACGTTCAATTATGATTTACAATGTTGTCGGAAGTGACGTGACAGTTCTCTACACCGTGTAATGAGGAACGCGTTAGTATTTCACGAGAACACGGCGCAGGAATCAAAGGCTGGCCGTACGTTGACACGGCCGCGTATAAATCTTTGAAGTTTGGGCGGACATAAACATCTCGGCGCGTACAACAACTAAATTCGACGTGTTGAAATGTTCCTCCATATTTCTTTTTTTGATAAAAAATTAGAGTTTAATGTAATAATTTATTATGTTTATGGGTATCGTGTAAATGAGTTGAGAAGTTTATTTGTTCGCGTCAAACTGTCATACGCTTGTTTTTATTTTAGCAATATTTTATGTAGCTAATGCTGACTAACTAGCGGGAGGCGAGCGGGTCACAGATAGACGACACATTTGACATAACGAGCAGATTCATACATGATAAACGTTTGATATAGTTTGGAGTGAATGATGTATCAATAATTAAAATATTAATTGATTATGTAAATAGACTGTCTGGAGTGACAAGCTGAACATACTGTAATAAATAATATTGTGTAAAATATGTATTGAAGCGTGTAATGATCATAAACTGAGTTTGAAGTTGCAAACGTATATTTCATTGGCGCTATAAATCAGATAACATTCTTTTGTTTGTACTTATTTCCGTTATGATACTGTTTGATATATTTGATCTGAATGGAAACCATTACAAGATTGAACTGAATGATTTCAGTTCATTACGGAGCCGGATGTGATGTTAGTAATTGACGCAAGTCGGGTTTTGTGATGAGTAGAGATGTAAAATGAAATGTGAATTAATTACAGGTGTGATATAACTTATAATCATTATTTATTTTAAAATAAAAATAGTTTTCCACGACAGCACTATCTACTGAAGACTACTTTTAGACTTTCATACCTGTACTTAACTATTTTCCCTTTATTAGTGAGAATTTCTAAGTTTAAATTCCTTCATTTATACACCTGACAGTAGGAACCCAACACTTCTCGTTCGATAATCATAACTATGTCCAGCGTACTGTGAATACAAAACTGAAAAGTTTGTTTTATTGAACATGCGAAACACCGAAACGTCCGGTTCGAATTGAATTTTTTGTATTAGATATTCATTTTAACATGGAAGGCTTAAGGCATAAAACATTGCACTATGCTCAATAGGAGTCAAGCAGCAAGGACTATATGTATAAATAAACAAAATGTCCGACTTTTAGAACTAAGGTAAGTATTGCAATTTTGCTAACTCGACACGTGCCGGTACTTCGCAAGTGTTAAGCAAGAAACTTCAAGCTGTGCTCGTCTGCACAGCTATGTAAGCTGTTGGTACTTGTTCTACTTTATGCAAATCCTCACTTCACCTGTTTTGACTTTATAGATTGAGTGTACATGAACTTTAGAAGTTTAAAAAGTAAGTATATTTCTATGTTAATATGTACCTTAGTATATACATGTTTGTGTGTGTCTTTAATTTTTGTTTCGAGTAAAATATTGTACTGAGTGCATAATGAATTTTGTGATTGATCAAATTATTATACTTCGCAGTTAATGAAATCTGAGAGCTCTTTATCGACTGTCGCTCTTATAGCGAATGTTGTTTGTTTGTAAATTATACAACTGTTATATTTTTAATTAATAGTTGGTCTAATATGAATAGAATATTCGAGAAAGAATTAAATTAGTTTTTTCATGTGTTTTAATAAACTGCGAACTATATAGTGGCGCAGTACTGTTTACAAAACCTTTTAATACTTTACAAAGGTACATCATACATAGGCTATTGATATTTTTTCAATCATACCGCTTTTAACCAACCTGTAGGAACTAGGACATACAAATGGACAGTTTTCTATTACACTAAAAGCGCAGTAATTAGTAACTTGGCGGACAGATGGCGCTGACGCAGAGTTCCGTGACACTTTGATGGGCCAACCGTTTGGTCACTGAATAATGCGAATTCAGTTACCAACTGCAGCTGTAACTGAAGATACGCGGATATGTGCTGAAATGCCTGAAATATTTTCACTTTTCCGGGAATAACTATGTATTACACAGGATTTATATTGGAGACTGACAGAAACTGCCTCGTTGGCCGAGTGGTCACAAGTGCGACTACTGGGCAAGGGGTCTCGGGTTCGATTCCCGGGTCAGGCAAAGTATTACTGGGTTTTAAAAATATCTTAGTAGTAGCACGGAGTCTGGAAATGTACCCGGTATATGGCCCGGCAATAGGCTCACCCCCTATTACATGGGACTCATAACATAAAATAGTGAAAAGTAGGTGTTAAGTACATTGTAGAGTGGCATTAAGTGCCGTAATGTCCTCTGCCTACCGAGAGACTGCTGAGATTGGGTAGCAACGCTCTCTAGAAAATCTCAATCTTTTAAACTGGTATTTCCAATCCGCCTGCCAAGCATAGAGCAAACTCCTCCCAGGTACATAGCGCTCGAAACTTATTAACTCTTTCAGTCTTGGTGGTCACTGTGACTAACCACCTTTTCTTAGAAATTCAATTTTTGAAGTATGCTTTAAATTTATTTGCATTGGTTTTTAAGCATTTTAGTATAATTCAATAAAATATATATGTAACCAGTTCAAAGTGTGACTGAAAGAGTTAAAAGTGGATTGAAATTAGATTATTAGGCTTGAAAATGAGAGTTAATGATTTGGTCAGTTACTACCCTATTACACCTGATTTTTTTAATGAATTAGTAGGCAAATGAGCAGACTGATCACCTAATGGTAAGCGATCAGCGCCGTCCATGGACACCCGCAACACTAGAGGAGACACAAGTGCGTTGCCGGCCTTTTAAAAAGGAATACACTCTTTACTTGAAGGTTTGAACGTTGTATCGGTTCGGAAACACCACCATAATAGATCCTACTTTGTTTTTCATTTCACAGATTGTATACAAATAAGTATGGGAGTAAACAAATACAATTTTAAACCATTTCCTCATTCGCTTACAGCCACAATTTAACCAACTTCCAAAATAACCTCATAATGCATAAAATCGAAGAATTAATGTATAATTATTTGTTTTAATCAATTGACGGAATATTTATGTTCCGCGGGCGGTCCCTGATGTCTAAACATGTCGAGTTTGTTTTCAAAATAAATACCTGCGTGGTTTTATATTAGGTACTTCTCGCGTCAATGAATTTTAAATCTTAAGATTTTTATGATTTCGTTCGGCGTTCACGAATAATTTACTCTTTTTAACACTTCCTCTGTAAAGTTTAAAAAGGAAACATTTATTTTGAATTTCTAAGAAACGATGTTCTATCTTTTTCATTTACTAAAAGTGATGTACTGCAATTACAAATAGACGTAAGTACATTGGTACACATAGGTACTTATATAAATAATCTGATGGTCAGTATATACACCCACAACATCAATATTAAACAAGCAGCCTAAGACAGTCTCCCGCTGGAGCCTCAAAGTACAGATATATCAGAAAGCGTTTTACAACTACTGTTAATTTATTTTTCAATACTATTCTTCTTTGGGTTTGCATAAAATTAATACAATTGACAAGGATTATGTAAATGGCGACCGTTTCATCACAGACGAGAGTCGCCGGCGACCAGCAGGCAGTTATCGTGCGCGACCCACTTGCACAGGTGAGCCGTAAACATATAGAGATGGACACTACGGTGTCAAATTGTTATACACGCGCAAGACATGAGCGGATAGCGAGTTATGAATAGTTAATTTGAACTAACGTTTAACGTCCCGTCTGCCGCTAGCTGACGCGAATTAAAAATACATTGTTTTGCTCAGATCTGCATTAGATCTAACTAAAAGAAAGGTATTATAGGCGCAAAATAATTTCGCGAAACTTTGTAAATCAATTTATGTTTGGTTAACTAAATAAAAATCTCTAATTTTAATTCACCTCTATAATATCTCATGCAATTTTACGTATTCCAATCGTTGTAATCATTTTAGCAGTCAGCTTAGGATATAAATGTACCTATATTTATCTTTTAGACCTGATTTCTTTCAGCAAAACATAATAAATATTGCATTTAAACACAGTTATATTTACACGCTAGTTATTTGTAACACATCGATGACTTCCAGCCTCATTACTTCGACCCAACATTCTCAATCTCTCGCCGACCTCTCATAACTTGTACCCCACACTTCAAGACAGCAGCACGTGCGCGAACACTAAACACAGGTACTTACACTCGTAGTCCTACATACGAATATATAGTACTACAGAGAGCACAAACATTAACATACTTACTGATTTACATACAAACAGAGCATTCTGTCTGCTCGTCTGTTCGTCTGTCTGTCTGTGTATTGTTGATAGTTGTCGTGAAAGTCTGTTACGTTATGTTTTGTCTGGGTTGGGCTGTTGTGGAATAGGTGATTTTTTTAAATGATAATAATTAATGTTGGTTATTTATTTGGTTGGATTACGTTTTTAATGTTACACAACATTTTCTTTTGATTTTGCTTAGCAATAATGCAATAGTATACACATTTTTGAATACTAAACATTTTATCTATCATTCAAAATAACTGTTTAAAAATTATTTATTTTAAAAGTTTGTAGTTTCTTTTTACACCTGAGTTATGCACAAAAAGAGTTTAAATAAGTGCTTCATGATAGTTATTTTTCTTAAAAGATTCCCATCATTTTATTCTTTGTTTTTATAATAACTATCGTGACATATGCTGAATCAAGCGGGCACCAATCACAGGCATTTTTTTTTTTTTTTTTTTTTAAGGGGGGAAAATCATCGAATGACTGCTCCCGCCTGGGTGAGGCGGAAGGGAGTGTCAGACTCTTACTGACTAAAAACCACCCCGTTCCTTCTCCTGCACGTCGAGCCGGAGCCCCGGTTACCCGTTAGGTTCTCCGCGACTCCGAATCGGCATCGGCCCTATTGGGCCCCATCTGTGGTGGTCTGATGGCTCTTTGAGGCGCGCGCGGAACGCGACGCGCCGTACGCTCGGGTCTGTTTCTAGGCATTAGGCTGACGCGACCGCGCGTGCTGCTCAAAAGGCAAAGTCCTTCTTTATAGTAGAGGTGTTTTCAGTATATTTTCGTTGAATAACTCGTAATATTTAATTAGTTAATTTATTTTATTCTCTTTACGAATTCAACTTGTAATTCGATAGACTTTTTCAAAACCAACATTAATGCTTTAAATAGGTTTCTTAAGATTAATGACTTTCTATTTAACACGAGTATCCACGTTTCCAGAGATGTTTAATAAACTAATGCACTTTTTATCTCTCGGCCTCTCTCGGATCTCTCTTTATGTTAGTTACTAACATTAACAGTTAATTACTAAATAATAACTGAACGGCTAGTTAACAGAGCTACAAGATAACTATTAATGCAGAGGTGGATTAGACCTAGAGAGCGCCCTAGGTATACACTTCATAGGCGCCCCTAGTTTCACAGAAAACCGACGTGAAACAATTTTTTTCGTCGTGTTTAGTTTCGTATCCCCATTCCCACTGTTCCCAATCCCCGAATCCCCACAATCCTCAAATTCCCAATTCCCAAAAGGCCGGTAACACCTATGGTGTTTTAGATGTCTATGGGCGGCGCCAATTGCTTACCATCAGGTGATCCGTTTGCTCAATCACCGGATTATCTCATTAACAAAGAAAAGTTGAGTACGCGTGTCTCGCAACGCCCCTCAAAACTGGCGCCCTGACCACTTGCCTATTTTGCCTTGCTGATAATACAGCCCTGAGTTAATGTAAACGAGCTCATTAACTGAATTCATCGTCGTCGCAACGCGTTAAATAACTAATTTCAATGTGTTATTAATTCAATTAGCTGTTAACGGCCCGATAGCCGATGTTTTAGTGTTTATTTGAGAGTAGATTTGTGATTCGATGACAATTTGTTCTCTGTCAAACGTTTGATAAAGTAATACAGATTGGTATAAATGAATTAAAGTCGAAATAACGTGGAATTAGGGATCCAGGACCTTGTAAACTTAGTTAGGAAATTAGACTAATAATATATTAAGTAATTAGCATATAATGTATATGACACAAAATAAATCTACATACATACATAAATTCAAATACATAATTTTCTCATCTTAAAATATATCGTATCGTACAAAGATTTCCCCTTTGTCTTTTTGTTTAAAAAATAATCCTAATTTTGTTTTTTATACAATAATACTTTTTACATGCAGGTGAAACCAAATAGAAAAACAAGTTATATTGTGTTTATTGTCGATAGGTAACAGTTCGACGCCGGGTCACGCACAATCGTTTAGTCTTGCCTCCAGTGTCCAGTTCGTCACACTAACTAACGAGTGCCAGGGTAACAAATATACTTTTAACGTCCCGTTCCAGTGTTACTAGGACGCTAAATCTAATTTTCAAGATCATTTTATTTTCATTTGGCAGAATGTTCGTCTTCAGACTTTATCTTCTTCTCCTCTTATAATATCTTCTGATTAACTTCGTTGCGGGAACCAAGACAGTTACTCATGTCCCTGGGACGCGCCAGACTTCAATGTTCCGGTGTTTTCATGGTTGTATCTACTGTAGATCCTGGCTTACAGGAGTTGCAGCGGTTTTGGGAGGTTGTGGCAGGCTTGTCCCATAAAAAGAATGTTTGTCTAACAATGATAAACACAAGAAAAAAAAATACGGTATTGGTACTAGTCATTCATGCGATGCAATTTGTGTTTAAATGATATTCAGACAGAATCCAGACATATCGTTTTCGTAATCATTATCTTTGTCAAAATGACATTGGTTCAACCGTTAAAAAAAATTAAAATTTGGTAAACATAATAAATAAGTACCTACAATATTTTCATTATAAGCATGTACTACGAATTTTACAAATTATTATTATTCGTAGCAAATTATGCGTTCACAGGCCAATCCTCGTAGCACTGCTACGCCGTAGCACCGTAGCACTATCGAGACCTTTTTCGCACAGACCTCAATGAACAAGAGATGATTCAATTAATTTATTGCCTTCTTATAATTTAATTCCTAATCCACAGTAATTAAATAATTGACAAACTAGTATTAAACAGAATTATATTATTTACTTAATAAAATTTTTATTTGACTTTTTTTCGTACTATATTATTTAACTAGCTGTTGCCCGCGACTTCGTCCGCGTAGATTAATGACTTCTGACAGAATCAATTCAGTGCCCAAGTAAGATTTACCTATTTTGAAATGATTTATCGTAGTTTCAATAAATAAATAATCCCGCAGGGATCTTACCAGTACAGTGCCCGATCACGTAAGGTTTGAGTAATAAAAACTATTCTATCGACTATTGTTGGACCGAATCTCTCTAAAATAAGTTCAGTGGTTAAGAGTTAGAGAGTCCTGGGGCATTAACGCATAGTTCCCGTTCCCGTGGGACATCTGTGATAAAAACTATCAAACGTTACCCAGGTCCGAAATCATCGTTTTACCGAATGTAATTCAAAAAGATTCAATGATTCTAAATTCAATGGCTAAGAAGATCTATACAAACTCTCATTCCCTATTTTATCCCATTAGGGGTGGAATTTATCAAAACCCTTTCACAGCGAATGCCTATGTGATAACATCTATCTGCATGCCAAATTTCAACCCGATCGGTTTAAAACTGACAAAGCCTCATATAAACTTTGATCCCCTATTTTACCCCCTTGGGGGTGAAAATTATTAAAATCCTTTCACAGCAGATGCCTATGTCATAACATCTATCTGCATGTCAAATTTCAATCCGATCGATTTAAAACTGACAAAGTCTCATACAAATTTTCATCCCTTATTTTACCCCCTTGGGGGTGGAAATTATCAAAATCCTTTCACAGCGGATTACTACGTCATAACATCTATATGCATGCCAAATTTCAACCCGATCGGTTTAAAACTGACAAAGTCCCATACAAACAAACTTTCATCCCCTACTTTACCCCCTTGGGGGTGGAAATTATCAAAATCCTTTTACAGCGGATGCCTACGTCATAACATCTATCTGCATGCCAAATTTGAACCCGATCGGTTTAAAACTGACAAAGTCTCATACAAACTTTCATCCCCTATTTTACCACCTTGGGGGTGGAAATTATCAAAATCCTTTCACAGCGGATGCTTACGTCATAACATCTATCTGCATGCCAAATTTAAACCTGATCGGTTTAAAAGTGACAAAGTTTCATACAAACTTTCATCCCCTTTTTTACCCCCTTGGGGGTGGAAATTATTAAAATCCTTTCTTAGCGGATGCCTACGTCATAACATCTATCTGTATTCCAAATTTTAGCCCAATCTATCCAGCGGTTTGGGCTGTGCGTTGATAGATCACTATGTCAGTCAGTCAGTCAGTCAATCACCTTTGAATTTTATATATATAGATAATAGTATGGTATTATGTAACAAAAACAATATATATTTTAATGTCCCCAATACCCGATATATCATACATAATTATGGAACTTCGTTTAATAATGACTAACTGTAAGTAGATCAAGAAACACAACAGCATTTTTATATTTAAAAGCTACCAACATTCATGTTCCCGACTATAGTAGTCTAGCGTGCTAACTAATCCGGGAGACCCGCTAAGTAGCCAATTCACGATGACCGCACTACAACACCTCACTATATAATCTATGGTCTGACGGGCCATAGACTAAGTAGACGACCACTTAACTTGATTGCTCATATATCAATATTATTTTGTAATCTGTCTGTTATTTTATCATTGTGAGTGGTTATAGTCATGTTCCGGTAGTTTTATTATGGACTAACCTTTGCTCCTGGTTTTGCCTGTGTTATCTTTTAAAATGTCAATCCAATAATATTATTATTTCATTAAAGTATATTAATATGTATAGAGTTAATCTCCGATAATAGATTTCCAGTTAACCTTGCAGTATTTTAAAATAATCTTACTTCCATACGTTATATATACGCAGTTTTTATTTAATGATAGGTAAAGTAAAAGTATTTCAGAAGAAAGTAAATGTTACAACTTAAATCATATTAACTAAAACTCGCGGGTTAATCACGTGAATATACTGAGAAAAGCTCTACTAGTTTCGAACCACAGAGGGGTTCTTCCTCATGAGCATCCTACGCAGTCGCGGCGATGTCGCGCAGCCTACTCGTCTAGGCTGCGAAACTAGTAGAACTTTTCTCAATATATTCACGTGAGTAACCAACGATTTTTAGTTAATTTAGTATCTCACGATAGTTATTGTTAAATCATATTACCAACTACAATTTTTATTTTATATAAAAACACATATTGTCTATAAATATTAAATGAGAAACTTATATAAAAAGTACTCACTCATATGGTAATCATGTTCTACCTAAAAAAAAATCTAAACCATAATAATAAAGTTCCACTAACCTGAAAGAACAGCGTGAAGGCGACCCATTGGTAGTACTTGCCGTACCTTCGCGGCGACGTGCCGGCACCCCTCACGCCAGGGTATGCTCCTGGGGCCTCCCCAGCCACTGTGAACGTCGAGTGAATCCAGCAGTACGTGTTCAACACGTCTTCTGGTATATCCCTGGGTAAAATAACATGACCTTGAGAATTTTTTTAGGGGTTTATTATTTGCATGTATTGAAATGATGAACGATAAGTGAATATTTTTAAAAACATCTAAGTGTGGTAATATTAATACACAATAAATCGTTTAAACTGGATCAAAAAAATGGTCTAAAATTAATTTAGCACAAGGTACTGTGCTCCTCGTATCTGTGTACAAACTCAAAATTATTTGATATTGAATGAAATCTAAGCATAGATGATATTTTAAGTGTATTACTTGTCTGAAGTTACTCAACAGTTTTAAAGTGAAAACAATTTTAGCGAGAAATGACTGTCACAAATTATTATTTAGTTCGCGGACTAATTTAATTTATTACGCCAATAAAACTATTAACTGGGAAATAATAATTGGCACACATATTTCGCTAATGAGTTCATCATCCATAATCCCGTTACTAACGTGACAGGCGATACTATTTTCAATCCAACCATGTAATATCCCTCATAAATTATTTTAATAACAATACAACAGTCATATTACGAAAATAAACCTTTTATTTTCAGACAGTCGCAATTTTTCTCCTGATTTTACAAGGTTTAGTTTAACGCCATCTATCTTGCTAAGTGCGAACTACGTGGTCGAGTTGTAGACTAAACGTCGTGTTTTCTCACCTCGTGTGTATACAGTCGATGGGGTTGCCCACCAGGTGGCGCGTTGTTAAGGCTGCGCTAGCCGCTAACAAAGCGGCGGTAGTTGCACCGCAGTGCAGTCGGAATGCTACGGAATCAATCTTCGGGTTCACCCCTTGCTGTACAAAGAAAAATATCACATAAACACGAAGGCTCAAGGCTTACATTGCAATTTTTATTTTATCACTAGTTGATTTTAAAATATTCAGAGATAGCATCGGCACAAATTGGGAAAGCACTTTGTAGCCAAAGTCATGGAATTCAAAAGAGAATTTTATATTCTTCAAGAACTGAAGACAAATTTGTTTGCTTTATTTAAAAACATTTATTCTAGTTTTGTAATGTCTTGCAGTTATGAAAAATCCTAGAGTTTGAGGAGTGATTGCGAGTTCAATTACCAAACTGAAGATTCTACTGCCGGTACAAGATTTTTTTTTTTTTTAAGGGGCGAAAATCATCGAATGACTGCTCCCGCCTGGGTGAGGCGGAAGGGAGTGTGAGACTCTTACTGACTAAAAACCACCCCGTTCCTTCTCCTGCACGTCGAGCCGGAGCCCCGGTTACCCGTTAGGTTCTCCGCGACGCCGGTACAAGTGTAAAGGCATGGCATTTAATACATTGTGTTGTAGTATTGAGTATTTTTTACAATGTGGTGGTGGCCCGGATATTTAAGACGCTCGTTTCTTATGCATGAGGGTGCGGGTTCGGAACCTACCAACGGCAAGTACCAATGTGACTTTTTCCGAGCCATACGTACTTTCTAAGATTTATCTAAACGCCACTGACAAAAGGTAAATGAAAACATCGTGAGGAAACTTGGGCATATAACTTCTAATAATAAGTTTGAAATCGCCAACCCGCATTGAACAAGCGTGGTGATTAATGCTCAAAACATCTCCGTATGCGAAGAGGCTTTGCTCAGCATTAGGCATTTATAGGCTATTGATGTTGATATTGTAATTAAGAATGGCGTTCGGTCCATAAAAAACTTCAACTGTTAATACCAAAAATCACTACCTATGTTATGTCCACCGATGATCACGTGACCACCGTAAACCGAAAAGATTGTCTAAATTCCCAATTAAAACAAAAAATTTAAGAAACAAAAATTTGTACTGAAAATCTCTGCCACGACGAGCTAGCACGAAGTCATAACGTAACGCAAACGTACTTACGCGACGTTACAACAAGATTAGTCCCGTAGTCCCGTAGTCCTCTAGTCCTCTACACTGGTCTTACGTATGCTAATTAGTGTCGTCGGGACTACAGTAAACACCTACTTAGGTTGCCTAAGCACGTCCCTAGCGTTAGTCATGTTTTTTCAGCACTCAGTTATGTGTGATGTATGTCTGAATATTCTCTAAAATAATTAGTTTTACTGGAAGGTAATTGTTTACCATTATTCGTGTGTAAAAGGTTCTACAAATATTGGTGGAGATTAATTATTTAATTTTTATTTGGATTTAAGAACAATCGACCTCTACACCCGACCAGGACTACCAAGATAAGTTTGCCAGTGTTTAGTAGTGCAATGTCTATTGGTGCCCAACAAGGGACCTCAAGTCTTTCACAAATTGTTTCAGATCTTAAATTCATCGTCAATTGGTATAAAGCGATCTGCAAATCTATGTTTGCACTTACACCATCGTCATCAAAGAACATTATATGAGTTATCTTTTGAATTAATCTAACTTCGTTTTGGCAAGGGTCAAGAGCAAGCCTAGTCGAAGTGCTTAAGAACCAAAGATACTGTAACTACAAAATATTGCTTTTTTCAACGTACCCCTCCGGACAGCAGCGCATAGATGCTGGTGAGGATCTCCATGGGCCTCCGCGGCTGCGGGGCGCGCTCGCGCCGCCGCCACGCGCCCGCGCCGCTCCCGCCGGCCGCGGACACGCCGCCTGTGCGCGTGCCTGCGCAGCGACCGCGACGGCCCCACGACACGCACGAGTCCCTGGGGAAGAAACTTACACTTACACACTTCATTCACCGACACAACATAATGTTGTTGACACTTTATATTTTTGTGATAAAAGATAATTGGCAATTTTAATCGGAATAGGTACAACCAAGAACACTCAATTATGAAACATTATTATTTTTTTTTAAATATTATTCTAATGTCTGATATAGCAATTTAGTTCTTCATAGTTAAACAATGTAGAAATCCTACGTTTTGATAAAAATACCGTTATACCAATAATAATAATTAACGATTTGAATACGATATTTCACACTGGACAACAATTTTAAAACAAAATGAAAAAAATATCATAACATGACAATGCTTCAGGTACCCTACAAAACAAAACCAATAAACCTAATTAAAATAAATAATTTCCCAATCCGAATAACGCATATACAATACCACAAAAATAGAGAAACATCTAAAAACAGGAGAAGCACAACACGAACGATACAATAAATTGAACAGAACTCACCGCAAAAGTAACGAGCTCCCTAACCGTAACCCAGTCACCGATAGAACAAACACCAGTGCACCACAACAATACACCAGTACTACCAGTAGATACACACGCTTCAATGAAACACGTCTACGTCGGAAGCGCACGCGCCGATGTAACACGTGTTGCAAACTAAATGTAGATAATTTAGCTAAAATCGACTCATTGTGTACCACAGCATAAAGGTTCGGACACAGTTACTAGAGATTAGGGATTCGCTGAACATGTAAAAATAGATGTTCAATTAATAGATGGCCAAGGGCATTTGTTTGTTGTCAATTTGGGTCGAAGAGAAATATTCAGATTTTTTTTAGTTGTTTTGTTTGTGAATTTGACTATAATGAAATAGATTTAGAGTTTCTTTCTAGGCCGGTGCCTATGTTATGAGAAACTCTAAATAAAGATTTATTAACGTCCTCACTTTGCCATAAAAGTAACAATAAAAGATTTTGGTTTGTCGCCGGCTGATTAGGTGCCACATAAACGAGACTTTACGATACTTTAACTATCATTTCAACATTAAGGACTATCCAACGGCATGATTATAAAAGAATTTTTTTAATCAAAATAAAAATTTCTACAAAAATAAATAAATTGAGATGAATGCTTATTAGGACATGGGAATGACATTAATACCATAAATTATACTCAGAATACGTAAACTGTTAATAGCAAACTTATTTCATAGAAGAGCCTATAATAAATACTTGTATGGAACGAGGGTGATTCGAAATGTGAACTTCTCCACAAGTGAACAGTTAAAAATATAAGTATAAACCTAAACTCTATTAATTCTCATAATCTTAACCACATAGTTGTCTCATTATGAAAGAAAAAAGCCATTCAGTCGACAATATTTACGAATAAGCTTTGGACGCTCTCCAAATCACCGAAACTTACGTGATGAATGTACTACACTGTGCCTCTTGATACCAGTTTACGTCTAACGGTTAATTAAATAAATCGCTTCGTATCGTTATCGTCGAATAATCGTATGTCTTATGACTCAATTTTATTAGCAACGTCATACTATAAACAAACTTTATGGTCCTAACACATAGCCCTGCGGTATCCCTACTCATGTTTTCCTTTCAAATCGGTTCGATTGAAGTTTCCGGTAAAGTGAGCTTTGTTTCTTCAAGCAACAAACTGTATGAGCAACACTTTACCAAGTATTGTTCGGCTTTAGGGTGGTGGTCAAATAAATACAGGTGCTGGCCTTGTCAAACGCTGCCCACGGTGCGGCCACCCGAGATTGATGGCTGAACAACTGCTGCCGTCTGTTTAGAGATCTTTGTCTGTCTGTATGACTGTGTGAATCATGTGTAAATCTGGAAGTCGGTCAAACGTCCGTTGACTTGTATGATACACTTTTCATTGTTAATGGATATTGTGTTTATTTTTAATATCTTGTTAGCGTGCGGTTTGTTCTATTATTGATTGTATATTTTTTATATGTTTGGTTTGAACTAATTTTATTGCTCAATGTTAAAATGTTTGTTAGATTATGTCTAGGAGCATTTATTTACATTTTGAACATTTGTTTACGTTAATGTTCCATTGATGTCGTTTTAGATCGGTTCTATTTGAATTATTTTGTTTATTCATTGTTTGAGATAAAGAAAGGGTATTATCTTGTATTAATATTGAGTAATATGTTAGTTATTTTGTTATGAATTAAGCAATACCTTCTGCCAACAATTCTGTTTGCTCGAACTCCAAAGTCTTGCCGGCCACCTACTTCTTGGCGACAACCAGACGTCTTGCCCATGGGGTGCGCGGGAAGCAGTGCTGCTCTGCGCCTGCATCAAGTTTGTTTGTGTGTATATCCTTAATGCTAACACTTACGAGAACTTGAAAGATGGAGATCGTGCAGCTGCTATCTTCTTCTGACAAACTGATGATGCGAAAGATTACATACTCATGTGCGTATGCACAAATAAGCTACATTAGGATACAAACCTGCTTTTTGTCCACCCTCTGGCCTGTTCATTTTCTATGTACAAGATATTAGTCATTGGTGGATGTTTACCTTCGGTTAGCAATCCTGTGTGCGCGCACTCCTGGGTCGGGGCGGCCGCCAGACGTCTTGCCCATCGGGCGCGCGGGACCCGGCGCCGGTCAGCGCGAGCTTGGTGCCCGCGCCATCCTCGCACCTACCACTGCAGACAAGCAAACACCGATGTTTGGTAACAAACAACTTATTGGTAAAGTGTGGCTATTGTGTTTGTTTGAAAATGTAGACATGTAGTTACTTTTGTATTTGTGTTTCAGAGAAATGAGGAACTACTTAGTATTATTTCGTTTTAGAAATACAGACGTAGTGTTTTAAACTCTAACCTAGTAAATCTACACATTCAGATAATAATACAATTAATAATGTGTATGTGTGCAACGTAATTAATTTGCTCTTAAGTTTCGTTCTGTTTTCTGTATAATTCATAAGCTTAATATAATCAAGAAGTATCACTGTTAACTGCATCAGTTTCATTCATTCCATTACATTCCCTAACACGTAAACCAGAAAACTATGTCTTCATAACTGAAACTGAAATGAAAACAATTCAACAAACCAACTAGTAACCCGGAACATATTCATCTTTCCGAAATTCCGAGAAATTTCAGTCGAAACTACTGAAACAGTAGCCTTGTCGGTTGAAATTAGTCCGTCAATCAAATAATATTTAGCCTGTCTAGGCTCAGATTACCTTGTCCATGTGACGTCTTAGTAAAACGTTTGTTACGCGAATATAATCTTTATCACTTTTGTTATAAAGGCTGTGTTTTATTTTCTGAATTAAATATTGCTCACGACATTCATCCCCTCATTTTGCTCACGACATTTTGAATCGTAAAATAGTTAAGTTAGTGTCTGGTCGTTTTACAGTTTGTCACCGTGTACTGTGTTGTGAGTTAATGTATTGTTTTCCTATAGTTAGTGTTTGGCTATTACAGTTTAGTAATATGTAAACTTATGTTTTAGATTTAGATGAACCTATCAAACTTAAAAGACACTTCTGTTTTACGTACTTCTGTAAATACTTCGTAAACTATGATATTGATTATAAATCTAATAATAGTATACTATGACGATGAGAAATCAGATTTAGATAAAAGTTACCTAAAATAACAGTCCTAAATTTACCAAAAATGAAAACAGAAAACCACTTAAATACACTGAAAACTTGAATAAAATATTACCAAATTTCAATTCTAACATAAATAACCACCAAACAGCGAATATACGATGTTTCCTAGAGACCCATAAAACAAAACACTGCTTCTCTCTACTCAGAATAAGGATACGAGGTATTTCTCATTGTCCCAGGTACCAACGTCACATCAAATCAAATGGGTATCTCCACACCATTTAAATAATTGATATTTCCAATACGTATAGTGCAATATACGGCAGGAATTTCTTCACCAATGCATATTGATTGGCAAATATCATTTCTAAGGTAGCTATTTGGTGATAAGCGGAGCGGGTGCATGGTGAAAGACGCTTGTAATACATAGGGGTGGTTTTTCCAACGCCAGATAAATTTTACTAAGGAATAAGTTTTAATATTTGACAATTATTCTATACTAAAAAGTATCAAATGTCAGTTTAATTCTACTGATAATTGACAATACATGATTATGATCAGACTGATTAGTGATTGTCATTTGTCTGGTCCTGAACTATTTATTTATTCAAGGAGTAACTTCTTGGGATAATTTGTATTTAATTGTCAGTAGTAATACACTGACTTATGGTACTGGTTTCAATATTTCAAGGGTATAATATTTTTAAGTTCACATCAATTTATAGTTGTCTCACATTGCCCCCCCCCCCCCCCACTAGGATTTTTTCCTGTGTCGTGGGTGCGTTTACAAACATACAAGTTCACATACATTTGACACCCAGACCCGAAACAACAATTTGTGTATGACACAAAGAGTTGCTCCATGCGGGAATCGAACCCGCTGCACGTTGCGCAGCAGCCGGTTACCCCAGCCACTGCGCCAACCGTGCAGTCGTTCATAAGTGCACGTCAATTTATAGTCGTCTCCAAACCCATCGATGCATTTTTTATTACCATATAATAATATTACATAATGGTTGACTAAATTAGTACAAATGAATTGATTACTCATTAGCGGATACCTAACCACGAACGTCACTCTAAAAGTGATACACCAATGATTACAGAATGTAGCTCCAAACTTGAGCCTAAAAATAGACAAATCGATAGTTTATAGCGTATATTACTAGATAATTTACGTTTGTTTGTATTTCCATGTTTAAAGCGGCTGGAGTCACGGCCACTTACCATGATATAGTATAGAGCTTAAACGTTTGATAGGCCGTAAATACTGATTTATAGAGCTCTGCCAATAGAATGACCTTTCCTTCGGGTTCTATAGAAGGGTTTAGACATTGAGAATACTTCGGTGGTGTTTTTTATATTGATATTGTGGTGATAATGTGTGGAAGAATGTCTCAAATTCCATCTGTTTGTCATGTTAATATGACCTTAGATGTATGTAGATTTAGGTAAAAAATACTTTGAAGAAGTTTTGTTTTCTTGAGTTTTTGTAAAGATTGCGATTTTTTGTCTAATGGCTTGCTAACTCCATGGACTTATAAACTATCATAAGTTCATTCTAAAGTGGTTACTTATTTTGTTTGAACGTATACCTACAAACATACGTTGTAATTACCTATAAAATAGATTAATTAATGTCATAATTCAATGATGTCGTATATTAAACAACCACAAAGTTGAAACAAAATGGAAAGACAACAGTTGAAAGAAAATCGTATATAATATTTCGCAGTCGATATAACCTAGTTTCCAAATTCAGTGAGACATATAGTTTTAATAAATCGCTGAACAAATTAATTGATAAGGATCTCCCGCTGGCGTGTTCAGTGCGGCCGCCGCCCGCTTCCGCTCCTCCCTCACACCCCACCCTAAAGTAGTTCCGTGTAAAAGTGCGCGGAAATCGAATGGGATTCCATTCCCGGGTGATTCCGCCGCGGATAAATTTCCAGGACGCGGGAAAACGCTGAAATTTCACGTTTCACTTATCGCCCCTGTGTAATATTAAAGTTTTGTCTAGAATTTCACAATTTTCTGATATGTTACGTAGTTACGTGTAACGCGTAAAATTTTATCTTTCAGTTTTACGACCTGCTTCGATGTCACACATATTGAGGATTTTTTGTTATTTTGAGTGCTTATACGTATAGTGGGTGATCGGTTTCTCGAGTTAGTATTGCAGTCGAATAAATGGCTTTTAGGATTTTAGCATCAGTTTGGTTGCCAGTTTCGTAAACTGTACGAGTGTTAAAGCGTTTCGGAGAAATAGGATTTGGCTTGAGAGTTTAAAATTTAGGGCTGTCTAAGTTTGATATGAATATTTTAGTTCAGACAAATATTGGATTGGCGTTTTTAAGACTGTGATAATTCTATCGGTTACCTAAATAATGTTGGAGTAAAAAATGAGTATTTAGTCGAAATCTATATTGAATTAACAAATTGAGTCTATAAGTTTCAAAACTCTTTTCCGAATATTAGACCAGATTATCTACCCCAGACAACAAATAAATTTCATCAATACGACCTCAATAGTCAACGACTATCTAAATCAAGTCAGACAATAACCATACGACAGGGCAATGCTCATCAATCATCGCCTGCCAGCCACGAAGTACTGAACGAGACAACTAACGTATTCTCATACAAAATAACAAAATACCATCACTACATAACTACTACTACATTACTAATACTACATTTTATAATAGCTGATTTTTGTTTTTTTTTTATTTTAAATATGTATTCACCTTTTTTTCCTTTATTTAAATAATTTGCTTGCTGTGTGCCTGTTTTTGATGTATTTATAATTTTTATTTTGTCTTAGCTGTTACCTATTACGTCAGTATTCGTGTGAATCTGTAAGTGGCTCAATGTTACTATTTTTCTGCTAAATCTATGTAATGTAGCTGTTGATTCACCATTCAATAAATTAATTAATAAAATAAATAAATACATAAAACTAAGACACTCTCCGCTGTCTGCCCCTATGTATGTATGTATGTAATCTGAATCAAAATTTTGATGTGGTTGTTTTTAATGGATAGATAGTGATAGGAAGTTTATAGTTACATTGTTTTACACCAAATATAACGCGTGCGAATCCGCTGTCAGAAGCTAGTGTGCCATACAAAATACAAGTGGTATACTGTAAATGCAATAAATCCCGCGTTTTACGGTGGCAGTAAAAGTATTGTGACACGCGCCGATATTTACCGATACGCTGGCAATACGACGCGGGTCCGACACGACTACACGAATATCTTGTATGACCAATCTTGTCCATCATAGTACCTAGATTGGGATTGGGACCGGGTTTTAGCTGTAGAAGTAGAAAACTGTTAGAAGCTGTGTTCGGGGTTCATATCAGAAGTGAAAGACTGTAATTTCATGAAGTACGTGATTTTTATAACATAACACCACGCCCTATATCCTCGAAAGGGTAGGCAGAGGTGCGCATTATAGCAGTTACTGCCACTGTATAATGTAACACCCACTTTTCAGAATTTATGTTAGATATGAGTCCCATGTAATAGGGCCTGTGAGCGTATGGCCATATACCGGGCACAATTCCAGACTTCTTGCTACTACTGAGATTTTTTTTAAACCCAGTAATACTGGCCCCACCTGGGAATAGAACCCGATACCCCTTGCCCGGCAGTCGCACTAAATAAGATGTGCTTATTCTAAAAGAGTTTGAATTAACCTAGTTAATATGACCATAATATGAAATTATAGATAATATAAGGTTTATTTTATTTTCCAATATTGATAAAAACATACACGGGCTCAAACACTTGGTTTTGCTTCCAAAATACAGTAAATTAACATCAGTTAGACAGAGTTATCTTATAATCGACCTAAAAAAAATTCTATAAAAAAAATCCTGAAAAAACTGCCTGTACAAAAAAAAAACAAAAAATCCTCATCTTATATTAATTTCCTCGTAAAACCACTAACAATAGTTATTAAAAAAGCGTATGAATTAATAATTTCTTAGTACGAAACGTAGAGAAAACTTTAAAATATTAAAGTACGTGTTTATGGCGGAAAAGGTGTAAGTTAGGACATTCTCTGTAACGTGTAGCGCGGAACTTGTGTCCCGGGGGGTAACTAAATATTATAGGAGGTCTTATTTTTATAATATTCCTTGACCACTAACTTTTGAACAGATAAGACCCATTATTGTAGGTTAGACGTTTAGTATCCCGAGCGTACGGCGCGTCGCGTTCCGCGCGCGCCTCAAAGAGCCATCAGACCACCACAGATGGGGCCCAACAGGGCCGATGCCGATTCGGAGTCGCGGAGAACCTAACGGGTAACCGGGGCTCGGGCTCGACGTGCAGGAGAAGGAACGGGGTGGTTTCTAGTCAGTAAGAGTCTGACACTCCCTCCCGCCTCACCCAGGCGGGAGCAGTCATTCGATGATTTTCCCCCCTTAAAAAAAAACATCATTGAACAAGAGAATGTGGACCTCATGTTATAGACACCAATGTATAAATGTATTGACACAGACCGTGTTTTAATTGTGGACTCAAATAAACTAGCATCAAGGAAATACTTTGCCTAACCCGAGAATCAAACATTCTTAATAAATGAATCATTATCGCACCTGATAATCACACCGAATTCGCAGTAAATTTATAGAATGCTGAAAACAAATGTGATTAACTTGCCTCTAGAACCGTTTTAAAGTCTATAAAAATACCATATTGAACTATATTCTCTTGTGCACTTTAATAATTTTCAATTCCGAGTAGAAAACTGAATTTTTCGAAGCGAATGTTTCCCTCCTATGCTTTTTTTGCTACAAAAGTTGCATCCCAATGTTGGCTGAATTCAGTGTTCGAGGGAAATAAAATCATAGTAGACTTATTTCATTTTTAAAACTTTTGCGAATTTCCGTAACTGTATTGATATTGACGGGGTTGTATCTATCAAAAAAAGTTAATTTACCTATCTACGAACCAACGTAAATAACTCGGAAAAAACAGTAAAAGTACTTTAAAGGTAAAAAACTACCTACAGACAGTTGACTTGTTACACATCCAAAAGAACAACATTTAAGTTGTAATTATTAATGTCATTTAATAATTCGATCCAATAAATTAATCGTACAACATTTACATTTTATTTTTATGTATTTAAGTCGAAGCTGCACATACATCAGAGTGCACACACAAGTCACTTAACAGTAACTCGGCTCGCGATTTTATTAACAATCACGTTTTACGAGAGTGGCCACAAACTTGCAGTCGCTGGTCGCCTCGAGTCGCTACGTGCACACACCACACGCCTCCCTCGTGAATAAAAACACAACGTTAGATATTCTCTGTGAAAGTCATTTTAGTGAAAAATAAAATGGATATGGACAGTTAAAGTGAATGTTGCAGTGGGGAATGGCCGCTTTGCTCGCAGTGGTGGTGCTGTGCGCCGCCGCCTCCGCCTCCAACGTCGAGGTAAAACGTAATTGTTTTGTTGCACCAAACATTGCAAAACAGCTCCGGAAATTTGGCAACAATACATGTTCTGATAACGAACGCATACAGATGTAAATGCCGCCAAGATAAAAAACTGTACGATTTTATTCGCAAGTTCCTTTTTTGTTACATTTTATGAGATCTAAATTACTTGGTTTCGTACCGCAGCGTGTTCTTTAGAACTATTTATTTATTTTAATCGCTGCGCTAGTGTCCATTGTTTGTTGGAAGTGCTATGGGTTCGGAACAAAGGAGATATTATTCCTATATTCGCTGAATAAAGCTTTTGAAATTAAGTAATGTTATGTGATGTGCAGCCGAGCGGTCACTGGGAATTAACAACGACAGCAAATAGCTGAATATCAGCGATATTCGTTGCGTTGTGCTTTTTAAAGCAGAAACTACGAATTTTATGCAGCTCCCAGTATTACGAACTAGCTATAATTAACTTGAATGTTCATAGATTCATACTGAGATTTCGATATCTCATTGCCTTGATAAGTGAAGATATGTCAACTCTTTATCTCTTAGCGCTGCTTATTCACTCGATTACTCCAAATTACTTGACTACTGAATCCTTATCTTGTATGTTTAAGAAGAGCCTAGACAAGGTTTATGAGATCTATTCAAAGCAAAACCAAAAAAGTATCAAGGTTCAAACTTCCATAGTTATGTAATTATCGTCTAGTATTAGGTTTTATAGTAATAACAAATGAATCAATTTGCCTTTTTAATGGGATATGGGTGAACAAATAAACTCAATGAGGTTATATAGATTTGACGCCTACAAAATACAAAATTAATATTTTCTATTTAACCGACAAGTCCCTACTAACTCTTGTTCAAATATAATTAAAGAATTTCTTCCAAGAGAACCGCCGCCTGGCGAAGGCGATGGTGGAAGCTCTGCAAGACTCCAAGTTTGACGAGGAGCTGCTGTTTGATCTGAAGAAGGAGAACCAGGTGTACCTGAACCGCACCATGTCGCTGGTCATCAAGTATATTGTTAAACGGTATATTCTTTCTCCCGAAATTTTATAATTTATTTTAAGGTTGGCATCGTCCCGAGCGTATGGCGCGTCGCTTTCCGCGTGCGCCTTAAGGAGCCATCAGACCACCACAGATGGGGCCCAATAGGGCCGATGCCGATACGGAGCCGCGGAAAACTTAACGGATTAGTGGTTCTCCGGTTCGAATGGCAGGAGAAGGAACGGGGTGGTTTTGAGTCAGTTAGAGTCTGACACTCCCTCCTGTCTCATCTAGGCGGGAGCAATCATTCGATGATTTTTCCCCCTTAAAATAAAAAAAAGGTTTGGCATCGTCGCAATCTATTAGATTCGATAAAATTATATCTAGATGAAGTACCTAGTATTTTAAGTAGAGTGACTACTAATTTCACTAATGCTACAGCCATGTTGAACCTATCATAACTCTTCTAACAGACCTATAAGTAAAACCTTTTTCTTAAAAGATATACTTTTTTGAAAAATTTCAATAGTACATTTCACAACCCCATGTATACCGTTTGTACGTAAGACAGTGTAGATTATAGTGACCAAAGAATTAGTTTACTGATACATACATGACTTGGGGGTAGGCAGAGACTATGAAACGCCAATTACTACGATTCCTACATACCTCGATCGCTTAAATTATTAAATTATCTGATACACCGAACACAAATCCAGGTCCCATTATAAGGATGCCGTATCCTTCGGATCCGTTAGTGTTGTTACATGTATATACAAGACTTGCATCCGAAAACTACTGTACGTTTAATCATCAACTGATACTTGGAAGTTGTACCTACAAATGCAGAGATCTCTGCAGATACAGCACTGTATCTGCCACCACACCAGAGTTGTCTTTATCCAGTGCAGATACAGTGTTATATCCCTATATATACCATCACACTATACTGATACAGTGCTGTATCTCTATCCCCTATAACAATGACGTCAAGTTATCTGCGACGGTGTTAACGTTGTATTTCAAGTCCGGTTGCCATGGCAACGGTAACGTTATGGCCCACAGGCTTACGATAGGTGCGTAGTTTCCACACTAGTTACTAGTAAAATATTGGTATTGGTTCACATCTGGGAACGTTTGGGATTGTATGGTATGTGGTGTGAATATAGTTGAGGTAAAGCCATGGATTGAGTAGGTGAATATGGGTTCTTTGGTATTTTTAGCTACGATACTGATTTCAATGATCCGTCACGTGAAATGTGATAATTGAATAATTTATGAAAACAAATAATCAATTTATTACTAAATGAGCAGCTGCAAATATCAACGATAACTACACCAATTTACAGAGTTCGTCAGAAACCTTTATTTATTTAGTATCGTCTCTCATCTCAGAAAGCTAGCTTTAAGTTTTAAAATTACCTAATTTACGATACCCAAGAACTTATTTCCTGAAAACCTATTCCACGAAGAGATAGGTTCAATATTTTTGATCTTTTTTTTTCATTTCATTCTGGTTGGCTTCCAGCGAGGTAGACAATTACCGCTCGCGGCGCACCGATGCGATCAGCCGGCGGATCTACTCCTCACTCGTCATGAAACTTATCGATATTGCTAAGGTATAGTATAGATCTACTTTATTCCTACTAACATAAAGCATTAATTTCTTGGCTTAATACATACATAACCTCACGCCTGTCTTCAAAGGGCTTGTTTGTGTAATTGCTACGATTCTAACATACCTCTTTCGCTTCATCAGTCTTTTCATGCATGGTCGATGGTCGTCGGTTATAAAGTGCTTAAATTGTATCAAAATCCATCCAAACATGTATGTATGTGTAGTAAATAATATGGTTAAGTATAAACGAATAAAATTGTCGAACAGACAACACACAGCCGAAGTATAGGGGAGCACTTAGAGGATTTCCCAAAATTCCTACAAGAACGGGAACAAGCAGGAATTTTAATCTCGTTAAAACTCATGCGTCAGTGTACTTATTTCACACAAAAAGGTCCCATGATATGTATCTTGATGAAATTGACAAATGACATGGTTCTATTAGCCATGTTCACCCTGAAAATATGGACTGATGTCACACTCACGGCCACTTAATACAATGAATCAAATCTTCTATAAATTTATACTATTATAATCAGCAAGAAGAAATCGTTGAAGTTCGGCGCTCTGATTGGCCGGCTCAAGTGAACCAACCAATCAGAACGCTTAACTCGCTCGATACTGTTACGATACGAATGCGACAGTTATTCGTGCTTGGCACTCTGAACAAAATCCTCTCCCAACGACCAATGTAGTATCGGTATTTTCAAAGTCACATAAATATCTACAACTGAATTATTATTCAACTATTATGTCCATAACTATAATAAATAGCATTTGTAAACGAGTATGAGCAGAACTCTTCGTGTCTGCATATTGCTTCGAAACAATGGCGCCGGCTAACAATGGCCGAATATTCAGCTACAGTTACTTCACACAAATGAGTTTAATTCCTCATGAACAGCCATTTGTGTGAAATACTGGTTGTAATGTTACGCCTGTCCAGTTTTGAAGGGTGATTGTGTACAGTTGGATTTTTCTAGGCATAATTTTTATTTAAATTCTTCATTACGTTTAGATTCATATGAGTCTGTCATCCCCGAAGAGGAGCACATTACGGCATTTAATACTAATGTACAAAGTAACACCCACTTTTTACTATTAATGTTACGAGTCCCATGTAATAGGGGTAAACCTATTGCCATATACCGGGCACAATATTCCAGACTCCATGCAACTACTAGGAAATATTTAAAAAGCCAGTACCACTTTGCCCGACCCAGGTATCGAACCCGACACCCCTTACCCAGCAGTCAAACTCAAACTCAAACTCAAACTCAAAAGCATTTATTTCAACTAAACCATAATTTGGTACTTTTGAAACGTCAACAAATATGAAATTAATAATAGTTTGTCAGTCTGTCCGTCAGTGAACTTAGGCGCTCGTTCCAAAATGTCGATTCGAGTGAAGAAGAACGAGCAAGAAACTCCAGTCGTCCTTGCGACCGCTCGGCCAACGAGTTTTAACGAATTTTCTATATATGTATGTGTCTGCTCCAGTTAAAATATATTACATCAATCACTTGAACAACATAATTTCATGATATTTTATTATCCTTTTATGATGGAGATACCTTACATCGTATTGTCTTCAGTGCTTCGTCAAGTTATTTTACTACACATCAAAAATCGTTAAAAGCTCTTGTACTTAAATAATGTAACAAACAACGAAGAAACTGCAAAATAATAAGTTAGTTAAAATTCTATATAAAATTATCAAGCGTTTTTATTTTTTGTTAGAAGTAAAATGCACTGAAACAAAGCGAGTTCAATTTTATTTTTAACTCGTATCAAACAGTTATCCATTTCCATTGTAAGCTGCAATTTATACAAATCGAGTAACAGAACCACATTCGGATGAAATCGGTTCATTAGGGATATACTTTTTGTATTGTAATTGAATGAAATATATTTCATTTTATTTCGAAATTCTATGAGCTCCGTACAATAAACTATTATTTTTCGTTGCATATTCACGTGTCTTATATTTATTTTTATTACAGCAAATTTTTCCAAGCAGCATTGTATAATTATTATCACACATCGTCTTATTATATATTATAAAAGAAGTGGGATATCTCATTACTTTGAAATATAGAAACCCAACACTTCATTCATTCAATTGTTTGCACGCTATTCTCGATATTCTCACGATAGTCTCAATTAAAATATACTGAACCGATTTTTATGCAGTTTCCATCAGACCCGCAGTGGTCAAAGCGATTCTTAAGATGATTTCAAATGTGTTGTAAAGGTTTAATTAAATACTGCGTTCGAAGTTAAGACGACAAAACCAAACAAACATAATGGAAATTATCTTAAAAACATTCTCATTTATTTCACCACACAGGATCTACCCCGCAACACAACGGCTCAGAGTCGCATCGATACCGCACATCGGTACTACATGTCGGTGGAGAGCAGGGACATGCACGACCAGATGGCAGACGTCCAGGTGTTCCATGCTTGCGCCAGGCTCTATGATATAATGTTCACTGTGAGTATCACATCAAAAGTTAAGGATCTCACCCAGCCAGAACAACTATACTGCAATTACTTACTTTTAAAACTTTCTATAAACACGTTTTAAGTACAAAGCGTACTGTAAAAAGTTCAAAGCACTCTGTGTGGCTTCGAAAAGGGCTAATAAAAAATACTGTAGTCTGTCATCAAGCCAGCCTTATTTAGATTATTTTTAGTTAATATGAGTGAGTAAAGTTTTAACGTCGTGATCCGTTTCAGGCTCCTAGGATTTTAGCTCAGCTGGGTAAGCTAGACGACCTGACGCCGAGGATCTTGGTCAGGAAACTGAATGACATGGAGATCAAACCAGTACATCTTGGAGTAGCCTTGCTCATACAGGTTAGCAATAAAATACATACTTAATGTAGACAGTAAGAAACTTGTAGAAAATAAAAGAATCGACAGTAATTATAAAAATTCATCTTATATTTCTTCGAAAAGGTAGGCAGGGTCGTAGTTATGGATTCCATAATGGTTAAAAATGTGTCTTTATAGTTAAGTTATCATTATCCATAAATTCTAACACACGGGATCGTTACAACTTGTAGATACCCACATACATATTATGTATGCCTGCCTTACTTGCCTTAGTGCCTGGATTTGTGCTAAGGCTTTGTAGTGTAAGCACATGCCTCGAGTTCTCTCTGTCTATCCAACAATATCAACTACGTGAATTAACGCAATGTAAATAGCATATTGCCTAATGTATTAAGTTCTACTGGAACTAGGACAAAACATAGAAATACATATAAGTAGGTTCACTATTATTTATTTAAGTGACGGAAAATACTAATAAACTTTTTACCTTGTAGGTACTCTAAACTAGAATAAAAAATTTACAAAACTAGTCAAGGAGCTAACTTCAATATTATTTGCCCATCTTTCCAGTACCACCTCCGCAACACAGTGAACTTTGCGATCAGATCTAAGACATTAGAGGTTCTAGCTACTAAGCCGCAGATGGTGGGTCCTCAAGTGATAGACATGTTGAAGGCCCTCGCTTCCAAGATGCTGCCCATTGCTGAGCTGTTGGATATCCACCTGGCACACTCCAGCCCAGCTTTCAAAGACTCCTGCCCCAGCACCTGGCTTGGTATCGTTAATAACAAACAGGCTTAAAATTATGTTCATTGTGTACATTGACTAAATAAATAAATTGATACTAGATACATTAGGTATTTTATTTCATTCTTTAGCATTATTAATTAATATAATGAATACGCTTGGGTTACTTTTTAAATTTTGGCATGTTGTTGGCTTGTTTGTCAATATAATAACAAGACAGATAACATATACAGCACCAAAAACTGTAACGAAAAAAATCATAACATCCTAAAATTGTCAAACAAAATTATAAATGAAAATCTTAAAAATAAAACCATTGTGTTGTAAATACATTGTGTTACTTCAGAAACTGTCCAAACAACTATATTGCTCAGACATCAGACGGTCAGCTAATTTCTCGAGCACGTCTACAGTCTGACACGAGATGTTTGCTGAGCCGTCGCCGCGGGCTCTCCGACTAATGAAGATACTAAAAGCCAGCACTACTCCAACTGAATTTTAAACTCGTAAGACAATAGAACTTCTTAAATGGATTGACTTTGAAATTTTTAATTTTACTAACGAGATACATGCGACAGATCTCTCTGTTGCTCTTTTTTCTTTTACAAAATGTTTGTTTTGCTCAAGATTAGATTTGCAGACTTAGATTGTTTTATATATACCTGGTCAGATAAAAATAGATTACCTCTAGGGTTCGAATCTAATTGGCACCTGGAACTTGTTAAATCCAGAGGGGTTTTACACATAACAGTTCAGTATCACATAATTATTACCTTTGTAATATTGACTGCATGGTTGGTGCGGTGGCTGAGCAACCGGCTGCCGCGCAACGTATCGGGGGTTCGATTCCCGCACGGAACAACACTTTGTGTGATCCACAAATTGTTGTTTCGGGTCTGGGTGTCATGTGTATGTGAACTTGTATGTTTGTAAACGCACCCACGACACAGGAGAAAATCTTAACGTGGGGCAACGCTTATTTAAAAAAAATTGCCTAAAAAAACAAGATAGTAAACCTATTTCTGCTCCACATTTCCTAATACACGAAGATACAGCTCCTAGAATATAATATGTAGTTACAAACATACAGACAGACTATTTATATACCAGTGTATGTAGGTAGGCGGCGGACAATCAGACCGGTGGTGGCAGCCGAGGGTTTTTATTAGACAACACAGATTTATCGACTGACCACACTATGCTTTGGGGCTACAAAAACAGCGATTTTTTAAATTGTGCCATTGATGACATTAATGACAAAATGACGGATGTAAGGGCAAACCATTTGTTGCTTACATAATTTATTGTGCAAAATAAATCTATGAAAATTTGTCAGTATTAAAACTCACTTTTTAAGGTATTTTGTCTTTACGTATATCACAAGTTTGAAACGATGGCTAATTCTGCAACTAAGACACTAATTAAGGGTGGACAATTCTGGGGATAGTAGGAGAGTATTTAATGGAATACCTCCTGAAACACTAAAATAAAGACATAACATCTGATTATGGCTGAATAGCCGATGGCAGCTCGCAATTAAATAGTGTAAAAAAAATCTTATTCAAGCTACGGCTGTACGAAGTCAGTCTAAATGATTAACTTTGTGGCCCCACATATAATTTCATAGTTTAGCATAATTTAATCCTGATGCTAATTACTATAATTAAATTAACAAACACAATTTTGATACTACATTTATTTATTTATATGAACTTACAATTTTAATCAACTTCCTTTCTCATTAAAAACTATATTAAAATGTAAACTAAAACAGCAAGAACATCAAAAACTGATTTCCTAATACCGGAGAGCGATAAAAGAAAATCAGTAAAATGTGTAATGACGTCACTGCCCTACATAATGGTATCGGCGCACGCGCATCGTTTGCCTTGATTTACGAGCGGAGGGATTTGTCCCCGCGACACTAGTTCCCACATTAAATACACAATAAAACGTGGATATATAGGACTAGTTGATTAGTTTTTTTTTATTTATTTATTTACTGAGACATTGTCCTAGTTTGTAGTAATAAAATTTGTAAAAAATATATTGCTACAAATTCGTTGGCGATGATTTTTATACGACGTAGCACATCACTAGTGTCGGTGTGTCGACGTGTGAACGTGTTGTTTCCGTAGTTTTTCATATTTATAGGTCATTTCCAATAAATCCGACATGACATTATTACTTTTTAATACCTGTTAGATAAATATTTTATTTCTATGACTCTTCCGGAGATTTTATAATTTGTATGTTTCTATTTATGTTTATTAAAGTGCGATTTTGATTTCAAACTAATTCCTAAATTCGTGGTTTCCTACTTTTCGTAATGTATTTCGTATTTTATTACACATTAGCGGCCCGCCCCGGCTTCGCACGGGTTCAATATTCATGTACATATAAACCTTCCTTAAGAATCACTCTATCTATTAAAAAAAAACCGCATCAAAATCCGTTGCGTAGTTTTAAAGATACATAGGGACAGACAGACGGCAGATAGCGACTTTATACTATGTAGTGATAGGTATGTACGTCAACATTCTAAGGAATGTAAAACGCTGCTATTATTCTTTTATAATGTTCTAAAATGAACTTCAAGTTTCAAAATATATACTGTCTTCTGCAGCAACATAAATACACAGTGTTGCTATCATTATCTTTTTATTACATTATCTAATTTCCCATCATCAACGCGCCCCGTCCGGCACTTTTATATGCTGATGCGGCAACACTGATAATGAGCCCCGGAAAGTTATGGTATTCTCATATATATAGCCATACTCAACAGTTCGTATGGTCCTCAACGAAAGTAACGAATTTCAAGACCCCTTTTGTAATGTGTAGAGTTAAGCAAAAAGGATTGTAAGCCATGTGCTAATGGCTAAAAACAAACACAGGCACTAAATATTATTTTTAAGGCTTTGACTGCCAATAAAGAATTGTTGAAGGCTAATCCTTCGCTAATGTCGGTCACCGGTGACTCCCATGGCGTTTAATGTGTAATTTTGTGTAATTGTAATTTTGTGTAATTGTAATTTGTGTAATTTTTAATTTTGTGTAATTGTAATTTTATGTGATTGTACGCAATCATTAAAAAAACTGAAAAATACATTTCTCAGCTTAGTTAAAAAAAACTCCTCGAAATAACAATAATAAACAACATTTACTTTTAACAACGTTTTATAGCAATTAAAGTGTCAAAATATTATTTCATTTTGTCTCTAACTGTACACCAGTTTAAACGGTGAGTAATGCAGAAGCCAGCACCACACCTGTGTATGTCTGATAGCTGTTATCAGTGCATGAGCCGGTCAGAGGACGGGTTGCGGGGATCTTTGCATTTTCTCCATACACTTGTGTATTAGTCAGGCATTTGTCGTATTTCTAACCATCATTTAATTTTAGAGGACCATTTTAAGGTACATTTTAAGTAAAATTCGTTGATGAAGTTTTCCTAGAATATAATACCTATGACTGGTATTCCCTAAGGGGTAAGCACAAGCGCAGACATTATTAAATATATCACAATTTTCAACCGTCATAAGTTCCATCTCGTTTTCACTATGGATGTTGGTTACTTTTAAAGACTATCAAAACATTTATATTGAATTCATTACATACCCCTTCGGGGATAAAAGGCGTGAAGTTACGTATGTTATTATGTCATTACATAACATAACATCAAGCCTGTTTATCTCCGAAGGGGTAGGCAGAGGTGCACATCATGGCTTTTAATTCGACTGTGCGCCTCTTTTTACTATTTATGTTATGAGTCCCATGTTATAGGGGGTGAGCCTATTGCCATATACCGGGTACAATTTCACAGTCCGTGCAACTACTGGAAAATATTTAAAAAGCACAGCACCACTTTGCCTGACCCAGGTGTCGAACACGACACCCCTTACTCAATACAACTCCAGACTCCGTTGTACTACTGAGAATTTAAAAAACCCAGTAATGCATTGCCCTACCTGGGAATCGAACCTGAGACTCCTTGCCCGGCACTCACACTTGCGACCACTCGGTCAACAAGGCAGTAGGCAAAGCATTAATAATCGAAATAAACAAAAATTTGTTCATTAACAATAAATACTTTAGAGTTTACGTAACAACAACATCTACACATTGTGAAAAAGTTACAATGCAAGGAAAGCCACCCGAACACACCCGGGTATAGTCCAAGTGTACCCGGGTATACCGGTACATATGTATGTCTCATTCCATCACGCCGCGCCCGTCCGGCCATTCAGAGCTGATGTGCGTGTTACATGGAGTTACACGGAGGAGAGACAAGAAGTGACTTTGTAGTAGGTACTTTTATTATTTTACAATTCAATTAATGTTAAAATAAGCATTTAGCTCTTCAGCCAGAGGGAGCGACGAGGACAGTTAATATGAAGAACTGAAAACTGAGCTCAGTAGTGCGCTACTAGAGTGGTCTGTAAAATGTGGGCTACGAAAGTGGGCTCAATAATCATGAAATTATGTGATTAATTAATATTTGAATTGTCTCCCTGTCATTAGTACAGGAAATAAAGCCGAGACTACCTACTTGCTAAAAGTAATTTTTCAACTATCCAGGGTAGAAATGTCATCTTAGCGATTCCATAATCTTTACATCACTGTCCGGGTGGCTACCTTATCTACCGTCTGGACGGAGCTAAGTATCCCGAAAATTGCTATTAAATAATATTCCACGCGATGAGCGGTGTAATGGGTACCCTGATCGAGCTAGTGGTCTGTGAGACCCGCTAGATATTCCCGCGTTCAGAGGGTTAAAGCTCTGACCTTGTAGACTTTACCTCATGTGTTACTGAGCTGAGATTATTGTCGTTAAGTTTGAAACAGATCTTTATTGTACTAAAATAACCACAATCACATTACAAGTCGTCGGAAAAAGTGTAGCAAAAAATAAATTTTTTGACCGTTTAGAAAATCTTCTAATATGATTTACCTTTTTTTTAAGTGTGGGAGAGCTATGCTTCGGCACGAATGGGCCGGCTCGACCGGAGTGATACCACGCCCTCGCAGAAAACCGACGTGAAGCAACGCTT